GGCTGACACAGACACATCTCCTGATTTTCTGCTTTTAACGGAGACTTAAGCCTTAAGAGTCTCCATCAAGACTCTGTTTCTTTGTCTATGCCCCTCTAATTCCTTCCTTTGTTGACATGCACTTATGCCTCATTTATACTGCTGCTCCATGGGTCACCGCCTCCTCATCAACATCCAACATTGCCTGCGAGCCGTTTTTTTAATCTTCCTGTCAATCTTTGCCTCCTGGCTTTGCTTCAGCAGGCCCAGCACTCTCAGACATTCTTACCGTGCTCGCGCTCACAGCCGCTGTGCTTCTCACTGAGAGGACATTGTTGAGATTCTTCCAACAGGATTCTCCTGCAGCTGCACGAAGCCCTGCTCGCCCCCACCCAAGCGCTCCACCCAGTGTGATTATTGTTTTTTAGGGGCAAGGCTGATGTTTAGCTCTCAGGAATTTAGCGACGTACCACCTAGAGAGCGGAAAACCTGGTCGATGTTATCACAGGAGTAGAGCTGTGTACGGTGGTTGGTTAGTAAAAACTCTGTGCGACGTAGTAGAGATAGTAGAGCGTGTTTCAAGGCCGCTGCTTTGTTTGCAGGTCTAATCATTGATACACTTAGTGGATTAAACACTGACCGACCCTGAGGCCTTCACTGTGAGGAAAGCCGTCACGCTGTCACCTGACCTCACAGGAAGGACTTGGAAATGCAGGGAAACGTTTCGACTCCTTTTGTTTAACGACAGACAGGAAGGGCAGATCCGTTCCAGGTGTCCGTGAAGACGTGAGAGAGTAGAAAGAAGTGAAGCATTGCTGTGTGTGTCATTCACTGCTTTAAGTTTTAAGGATCAGAAACAGGCGTGCAGTAAAACAAACATTTTATTGCAGTCTGAAAGAATTGGTTTATTTTTAGCTTAGTTTTGATTTATAATTAACTTCCTGTAGCTCTCCTTTGTTTTTGCTCTCCTGAGCTTTTCGTGCACTGCGAGCCGAGCTGCTCAGTGTGGAGTTGGATTGCAAAGTGCAATTTTATGCCTGACTGCTCACTCAGACTTAAAGTACTAATTACTAAACTTTTATCTCTTTGTCTTTAAAAGCCATCATTGAAGCCAACGCTTTCCTTTATCACTTCCTACTTTAGTATATTTCACTGCTTCAAAGCTTTTGCTAAGTAGTACTAGTAAATATTACGAATGACACAAAACAAATTCCCAGTAGATGGTTTTGGTGCATCCGATGTGTTAGAGGAGAAACGAGGCCGTGTGCTGGTCTGGTCTTTGAGTGCTTCAGCTGTTTGTTTGCATCTGCTGAGCTTGCTCTCTCTGCTTTTTCCGTCCTGCTGAAGGTGAACAATGTGGAGGAAAGCCGGAGTGTTCAGGATGCCCCGACCCTGCTGGTGTCAGAGAAGGCAGGCGGGCCGCTTAACGCCTCAGTTAACAGCGTCTCCTACTCCCCGCCCAAGGTGGAGAGCGGCTCCTACAATGACGATGCGTACGACAACAACGAGTAGGTGGTTCACTTTTCTTTGAATACTTATCTCAACACCGTGAGCTCGCAAATATTTGTCTGGCATGTAGAGTATATACTCTGTATTATTATTGTTGTAGATTGTTATTCTTTTCACACAGAACCACAGAACTGTTTCGTGCTTCCTGATTTGTGTCACTTCAGTC